GAGCTGTGAGGAGAACGGCACCTCAGTACCTTCAGGCTCTGATCAGTCCCTACACCCAAACGCGGCCATTGCGTTCATCCACCTCCGGCCTGCTGGCCCCCTACCTCTGCGGAAGCACAGTTCCCGCTCAGCCCAGTCAAAACTGTTCGTTGCTCTGGCACCCCAATGGTGGAACAAGCTCCCTCACGACGCCAGGACAGCGGAAACACTTGAAACCCCACCTCTTTAAGGAATACCTGGGATAGGATAAAGTAATCCTTCTACCCCCCCTTACCCCACCCCCCCAAAAAATAAAAAATAATTGTAAAGTGGTTGTCCCACTGGCTATCATAAGGTGAATGCACCAATTTGTAAGTCGTACTGGATAAGAGCGTCTGCTAAATGACGTAAATGTAAACTATGGAGCTCATTGATGTCTATGGTAGACTCACCCTGTTAAATTGACCGGAACTGATCTTTATTTTTTTCATGGTAAATGGCCAACCATCTTTGGCTATACTCATAGAGATAGATAGAGGACTCATCTTTGTATATGTGCTATTATAGCATATGTGACAGCATGGGCAGCGCCATTGAGGCAATCTCCATTTTGAAGTAGTACATTTTCTTCTTCACGATTGGCTGATCCCTCCTGATGACCCAGCCAATGAAGTTGGAAGACCTGCCCAGCTGACTACATTCAAGTGGTGGAAGCCATCAATGGCGCTGCCTATGCGAATGAGGCCTTTTGGCCATTAGAGGCTTCTATCATTCTCTATGGGCTATACCAGAGATACTTCTCTGGCTAAATAAAGACACTTCCTGTAACCGTACAATAAAGCTTTGTTCACAGGTTTTTTCTGCCGTATATTTTTCGAAAAAAGGCTTCGCTACAACATTAGCAACGGATGACAATGTTTCCAGAAGTAAATATATAGTTTATAGGAGCATATTATCCGTTATGTTTTGAGATAATAATGGAATTATCTAGCTAGCCACCTTAGCTAACGTTAGTATACCAATTCTAGACAACCGGGATTATTACTCATCCTAGTTAAAAGGCTTAGCTATATTATAACAGTATATAATATTGGAACCTTAATTTAAAAGGGTAAGTATCTTCTTGTTTATTGAGATAATGTATACAGTTAATAGCTAACGTTAGTAAAACATTGATTTGGTAGTACAGTGAACCAGAATCTGGGTTTGCCATGAAACCTGACGTTGAATTGCATTGAATTCTACGTCGGAGAGAAACTATAATTTGAATCAGGAAAGTTTACTCTCACAACCTCTACAAACCAGAATGTTGAATAAAATGATATTTTAAAGTACTTTACCAGTTGTCCATACGGTTGGACCTTTTAGCGGTAGGAATGTTAGACAATATATTCACAAGAAAGTATAATTACTTCAACTTTTCAAAGCGCTGGTAACTTAGTGCATTCATATTTCTATCACCTGAAGGATGTGCAGAACCATGTAAACACGTGCACGAGCTCAGCAAGTATGCACGAGTCTCCTGCATGTGAAGGCACTACCAGCGCTTTGAAAAGTTGATGTAGTTATACTTTCCTGTGGCTATACACTCAGTGGGCAGTTTATTGGGGACACCACCCAGTTCACGAAAGTAGTTAGCGCCTACAGACATTGAGTCACGTGGCTGTGGCTTGCTATATAAAGCAGGCAGAAAGGCATCAAGGCATTCAGTTACTGTTCGATTGAACGTTAGAATGGGCAAAACGAGTGACCTAAGCGACTTTGAGCTTGGTCTGATCGTCGGTGCCAGGAGCGGCAGTTCCGCTATCTAAGAAACGTCTGTCCTCCTGGGCTTTTCACGCATGACGGTGTCTATGGTTTACTGAGAATGGTGCAACAAAACCAAAAACATCCAGTCAGCGGCAGTCCTGTGGGCGAAAACCGGTTGTTGATGAGAGGTCGAAGGAGAATGGCAAGAATCGTGCAAGCTAACAGGCGTGCCACAAACAGGCAAATAACGGCACAGTACAACAGTGGTGTGCAGAACGTTATCTCGGACCGCACAACTCATTGGTCCTTGTTACGGATGGGCTATTGCAGCAGACGACTACAACGGGCTCCACTCCGATGAGCTAAAAACCAGAAGAAGCTGCAATAGTGGGCACGCGATCACCAACACTTGACAATTGAAGAGTGGAAAAACATTGCCTGGTCCGATGAATCCTGGTTCCTGTTGCGTCATGCTGGTGGCAGAGTCAGGATTTGACGTAAGCAGCATGAGTCCATGACCCCATCCTGCTTGGTGTCAACGGTACAGGCTGGTGGCATAATGGTGTGGGGAATGTTTTCCTGGCGTTAGGTCCCTTGATACCAATTGAGCAACGTTTGAACGCCACATGTAGAATCCATGCCCCAAAGAATTCAGGCTGTTCTGGAGGCAAAGGGGGGCCCAACCCGGTACGGAAAAACGCCAAAGTACGTTAAAATATAATTTTATTCAACATTCTGGCTTGTAGAGGTGGTGAGAGGAAACTTTCCTGATTCAAACGCTAATTTCTACCCGACGTAGAATTCAGTGCAAATCAATGTCAGGTTTCCAGGCAAAATCTAGGCTTACAAAGGAGTCGTTGAATATGGCAAATCTCCTTTAAACTCAGGAAGCACCCATTCAACTTGCCATTCACCAGCCTTTCAAGCTTAATAATGTCAAAATACATTCAGTACTTACCAAAGAATGTCGTTTCGCTGAGCAACTGTCGTCATTACTGCCGTTCTGGACGGTATGTACTCCCAAAAAGGTCTAAATAAAAAGTTACATGCAACCGAAAAAATGCCTTGTCTAGAAATAATCTAAGTATTGTTTTTGAGAGAGTGCAATTGCGTCAAATCCACCTATTCTGCACCTCCTGCAATATTAATGGAATTAAAATACACTAAATATAATCCTATCTAGAAATATACAATCACTGTAAAATCAAACCCTATATTATCTACTTACATTAAATATTATTGCATCTGTGTAGCGTGGGTGAAACGACAGATTAATATGCCGTTCATACACTGTTGTAGGTGATCAAATCAATGACCTTTCCTGCTGCTGGATCAGCCGAGGGGTGCGCACATTCTCAAAACCTATACTTAGATTCTTTCCAGACAAGGCATTTTATCGATTGCATGTCACTTTTTATTTAGATATTTTTTGGAAGTATATACCGACCGGAATGGCAGTAATGACGATAGTTGCTCAGGGAAACATTCTTTGGTAAGTACCGACCATATTTTGACACTATTAAACTTGAAAAACTGGTGAATGGCAAGTTGAATGGATGCTTCTTGGGCTTAAAGGTGAATCTCCATATTCAACTTCTCCTGTAAACCCAGATTTTGGTTCAGTAGTACTGGAGCTTTGTACAGTACATTCGGAAAGTATTCAGACCCCTTGACTTTTTCCACATTTCGTTACGTTACAGCCTTATTCTAAAATTGATTGAATTACATTTTTTCTTCATCAATCTACACACAATACCCCATAATGATAAAGCGAAAACAGGTTTTTATAAATGTTAGCAAATTTATTAAAAATAAAAAACATAAATACCTTATTTACATAAGTATTCAGACCCTTTGCTATGACACTCGAAATTGAGCTCAGGTGCATCCTGTTTCCATTGATTATCCTCGATGTTTCTATGACTTGATTGGAGTCCACCTGTGGTAAATTTAAATTGATTGGACATGATTTGAAAAGGCACACCTGTCTATATAAGGTCCCACAGTTGACAGTGCATGTCAGAGCAAAAACCAAGCCATGAGGTCGAAGGAATTGTCCGTAGGCACAGATCTGGGGAAGGGTACCAAAACATTTCTGTAGCGTTGGAGGTCCCCAAGAACACAGTGGCCTCCATCATTCTTAAATGGAAGAAGTTTGGAACCACCAAGACTCTTCCTAGAGCTGGCCGCCCAGCCAAACTGGGCAATCGGGGGAGAAGGGCCTTGGTCAGGGAGGTGATCAAGAACCCGATGGTCACTGACAGAGCTCCAGAGTTCCTCTGTGGAGATGGGAGACCCTTACAGAAGGACAACCATCTCTGCAGCACTCCACCAAACAGGCCTTTATGGTAGAGTGGCCAGACGGAATCCACTCCTCAGTAAAAGGCACATGACAGCCCGCTTTGAGTTTGCCAAAATGCACCTAAAGGACTCTGACAATGAGAAATAAGATTCTCTGGTCTGATGAAACCAAGATTGAACTCTTTGGCCTGAATGCCAAGCGTCACTCTTGGAGGAAACCTGGCACCATCCCTACGGTGAAGCATGGCGGCGGCAGTTTTTCAGTGGCAGGGACTGGGAGACTAGTCCGGATTGAGGCGAAGATGAACAGAGAAAAGTACAGAGATCCTTGATGAAAATCTGCTCCAGACTGCTCAGGACCTCAGACTGGGGCGATGGTTCACCTTCCAACAGGACAACAAGCCTAAACACACAGCCAAGACCATGCAGGAGTGGCTTCGGGACAAGTCTCTGAATGTCCTTGAGTGGCCCAGCCAGAGCCCGGACCTGAACCCGATCGAACATCTCTGGAGAGACCTGAAAATAGCTGTGCAGCGATGCTCCCCATCCAACCTGACAGAGCTTGAGAGGATCTGCAAAGAAGAATGGGATAAACTCCCCAAATACATGTGTGCCAAGCTTGTAGCGTCATACCCAAGAAGACTCAAGGCTGTAATCGCTGCCAAAGGTGCTTCAACAAAGTACTGAGTAAAGGATCTGAATACTTATGTAAATGTGATATTTCAGTTTATTTTTAATACATTTGCAAAAAAAAATTTCCGAATCTGTTTTTCCTTTGTCATTATTGGTTATTGTGTGTAGATTGATGAGGGGGGAAAAAATGATTTAATCCGTTTTACAATAAGGCTAAAACGTAAAGTGGTAAAAGTCAAGGGGTCTGAATACTTTCCGAATGCACTGTAAGAGGTGAATGATATTCCACAGGTATTGTGAAATGAAAACGTTGACGCTTATTAAAACCATATTTGTCTTGTTTCCTCTTAGATGTCAGTGGAACTCGATGTCTTTGTGGGTAACACCACCATTATGGATGAGGAAGTCTATCAGTTCTGGCTGGATGGCTATACAGGTATTGGCCACAACATTCACCAACTCACACACACATACTAGACACATTCATCCATAAAAAAATACTTCATCAATATCTCTAACATAAACCTTGAATCCTGTTTCCTTTCTGCCCCATCCTCAGTGAACGATGCGGTGAAGGTTCGTATGGAGGGAGGGGTATTGGAGGAGTGTGAGGCCAGTGCTGAGGTTCTGCGCAGTGACACCATGGACCAGTACAGAACCTTCCAGATGTGTGAGCGCCTCCTGCACAGCCCCGCCAAACTGGCCAATCAGCTGCTGTTCCAGATCCCACCCCATCGCCAGGCCATGCTCATAGAGAGGTGCTCTACCATCTCCTGATACACTTTTTTTATGTCTTATCTTCCTCTGCCTTAAATATCACCTAATCTGTCTCTCTCTCCTCTCTCTCGCCTCTCTTTCTGTAAAGGTACTATATGTTCGATGGCGTGTTTGTACGAGAGGTCCTTGGGAAGAAACTCTCGAAAGGGACCAAGAAGGACCTGGATGATGTCAGTGCAAAGACTGGTGTCACACTGAAGAGCTGCAGGAGGCAGGTAGCAGAAACCTCAGAAGGCCATCCCCATTAACAATGACTCTCTGACCTGTAACATAGGATGAACTTTAATGTCCCAAGGGGAAAATGGTCTTGGACACACAGTACTGCTGTATACAAAATAGACACTGTACATCATACACTTCTCGTATAGCCACATACATAATATTTAGCATATTCCCTTATTCTGTCAGTGGTGTACTAATACAGCTCAGCTCAACGTTTGTGAGACCGTCCTGCCTGTACAGATTCTATGAGCTACAGAGCTCTAGACACTGCAATTCTAAGACCAAATGTAACTGTTTTTCACATGCACACTAAAGCTTTTCTCAATGATCCCCTTCTCTCCTAGTTTGATAACTTCAAGCGTGTATTCAAAGTTGTGGAGGAACTGAAGGGACCCCTGGTGGAGAACATTCGTAAGCACTTCCTTCTCTCTGACAAGCTGGGCAGGTAATAGTAGAATTTACTATTCAATTTGATATAATCTTGCCATTTATTTTGTACACTTTGACCTCTTTATGAAACTCCCCTGCATCTCCTCTTCTCAGGGATTACGCTGCCATTGTTTTCTTTGCCAACAATCGCTTTGAGACGGGGAAGAAGAAGCTGCATTATCTTACTTTCCAGGACTTTGCCTTCTGTGCAGGGGAGCTCATCAGCAACTGGACCGTGGGAGCATTGGGTGAGTTGTGCACTGCAATCATTCCCGATTCTTATAAGGCCTTCATTAATTGGAGTTCTGATGTTTTTTAAACTATCACAGCACCGTAATCTATTACGCAATATCAGATGTCTGAAGTAGTTTCTCTTCTCAGATAACATGGTGGAAGACATGGACGTGGATCTTGAGAAGGAGTTCTTACAAGATCTAAAAGAACTGAAGATTTTAATCACTGACAAGGATCTGCTGGACCAGCACAAGAGGTATGAGTGTGGTTCATTATTTATTAATTGCCTGATATGTATGTTATTGTTTCCTGTCAATAATTCACATATTTTTTTCTCTCCATATTGTTTGTGTATATTGTATGTGTTCTAATACTATGAATGACAATATTTGGTATTATCCCTGATGCCCTAGCTCCTGTTTCTGTCATTCCCTCTGCTCCACTCAGTTTGGTGTGCACGGCTCTCCGGGGGAAGACCAAAGCATTTAATGAGATGGAAGCCAACTTCAAGGTGCGTGACAACACATGCTTGTGTTACCCAACATGACTGCTAACGCTTCAACAGACCACCCAGTTTCATAGGAGGTGATGTCCAGTCCCGCCTTCTACAAAATTCTGTAGATCAGTCCATAGAAAGTGTGCTAACCACCCAGGTTATATGGGTTCAAATGTACACATACATTCTCTAATTCAAACAGTTCACTTGAGTTTAATTATTTCTAAACTGCAGAATCAAAAACCTTTTAATTATTTGAAGCAAACCCTTCTCTCTCTTTGTCCATAGAATCTCTCAAGAGGCCTTGTCAACATTGCTGCAAAATTAACCAACACAAAAGACGTCAGAGATTTCTTTATTGATCTGGTGGAAAAGGTACATCTATACATCATTAGTAGTATATATTAGTGACTGTTTTTAGTCAGGATATTCAACTCTGGCTCTGGCTTATGAGGCCAATAAGGTTTACAGACTTTTGTGCTACCCATGAAACTATGTGATATTCTCTCTCGCTCTCTCTCTCTCTCTCTCTGCCAGTTTATTGAGCCGTGTCGGTCAGACAAATGGACAGCAGGAGACATGAGGCTCTACCTCACTCACTACACTAACTCTGCACACATACTAGACACATTCAAGTGAGTAACATATTACTGTTATACATACACTATATATACAAAAGTATGTGAACATCCCTTCAAATTAGTGGATTCGGCTTTTTCAGCCACACCCGTTGCTGACAGGTGTATACAATCGAGCACACAGCAATGCAATCTCCATAGACAAACATTGGCAGTAGAATGGCCTTACTGAAGAGCTCAATGACTTTCAACGTGGCACCTTCATAGGATGCCACCTTTCCAACAAGTCAGTTTGTCAAATTTCTGCCCTGCTAGAGCTGCCCCGGTCAACTGTAAGTGCTGTTATTGTGAAGCGGAAACGTCTAGGAGCAACAACGGCTCAGCCGCGAAGTGGTAGGCCACACAAGCTCACAGAACGGACTGCCGAGTGCTGAAGCGCGTAGTTCCAAACTGCCTCTGGAAGCAACGTCAGCACAATAACTGTTAGTCGGGAGGTTAATGAAATGGGTTGCCATGGCCGAGCAGCTGCACACAAGCCTAAGATCACCATGCGCAATGCCAAGCGTTGGCTGGAGTGGTGTAAGGTTTGGTGGTGGAGGAATAATGGTCTGGGGTGTTTTTCATGGTTCGGGCTAGGCCCCTTAGTTCCAGTGAGGGGAAATCTTAACGCTACAGCATACAATGACATTGTAGATGATTCTGTGCTTCCAACTTTGTGGCAACAGTTTGGGGAAGGCCCTTTCCTGTTTCAGCATGACAATGCCCCCCTGCACAAAGCGAGAGCCATACAGAAATGGTTTGTCGAGATCGGTGTGGAAGAACTTGACTGGCCTGCACAGAACTCTGACCTCAACCTCATCGAACAACTTTGGGATGAATTGGAACGTTGACTGCGAGCCAGGCCTAATCGCCCAACATCAGTACCCGACCTCACTAATGCTCTTGTGGCTAAATGGAAGCAAGTCCCCGCAGCAATATTCCAACATCTGGGAAGGCTTTCCACTAGAAGAGTGGAGGCTGTAATGGCAGAAAAGGGGGGACCAACTCCATATTAATGCCCATGATTTTGGAATGAGATGTTCGACGAGTAGGTGTCCACATACTTTTGGTCATGTAGTGTATTGTGCTGCCTGGCATTCATTAAGGCCCTGAAGTTTTTTGCTGTGTGCTTGCATAATATATGGTATTTCATATTCATATCCCAGTTGTCACCAGTGGGTGTCACTGCATCTCGCACCATGTGACTTAAACTATAGTTACCTTGTTTCTCGCACAGCCACTCTGGAATGTAGTTAACGGTTTACACAACCCTGCACCACGACACTCAACAAATACATATTTATCGGACAACCATATTAAAACAGGCCTCTCATTAAACTGAATGAACAGAGATCGCTCCATATTATGAACCTTGGCCAGCTCTCATAATGAGAATTTGTCTTGAGCTTTACACACTCACATTTCTCTCTCTCTCTCTCTCTTTCTCGCTCTCAGACACCAGGTAGCGTGGGACAGGTATATGGGAGTGATCAAAAGCTGCCTCCTCCAAATGTACCATGACTGAGACGTTGCCTCGCTCAACCATCTACTCTCAACTTCCTCTTTATATCTGAGTCACGTCGTCTTATTTCTTCTTCTCTGCAATCGTCATATAAATCCTCCGCTCCATCTGTCAGATGTTTTCCTCCTCCAACGCCAGTGCCCACATTTCTCCTTTCTTCATGTCTTTGTTTTATTTATCTTCCAGCTCTCCCTTTTCCGTCCTCTCTTTCTCTCACTCTCACTCCTGTCTGTTCTGACACCCTACTCTGCAATGTCATCATGCATATCGTATCATTTGTATTGTGTACTGAACAGAAATATAAACGCAACATCTAAAGTGTTGGTCCCATGTTTCATGAGCTGACATAGAAGATCCCAGAAATGTTACATACGCACAAAAAGCTTATTTCGCTCAAATTTTGTGCACACATTTGTTTACATCCCTGTTAGTGAGCATTTCTCCTTTGCCAAGATAATCCATCCACCTGACAGGTGTCATATCAAGAAGCTTATTAAACAGCATGATCGTTACACAGGTGCACCTTGTGCTGGGGACATTAAAAGGCCACTCTAAAATGTGCAGTTTTGTCGCAATGCCACAGTTACGTTTTGAGGGAGCGTGCAATTGGCATTCTGACTGCAGGAATGTCCAACAGAGCTGTTGCCAGAGAATTGGATGTTAATTTCTCTACCATAAACCGCTTCTAACCGGCCTCACAACTGCAGACCATGTGTAACCACGCCAGCCCAGGACCTCCACATCCGGCTTCTTCACCTGCGGGGTGGGGTGGGGGGGGGTATTTCTGTCTTTAATAAAGCCCTTTTGTGTGGGGTACCTCATTCTGATTGGCTGGTCCTGGCTCCCAAGTGAGTGGGCCTATGGCTGTTTCGCTGTCATGTGAAATCCATAGATTAGGGCCTATTGAATTCAATTGACTGATTTCCTTATATGAACTGTAATTCAGTAAAATCTTTGAAATTGTTGCATGTTGCGTTTATATTTTTTCAGTATAAATAAAGTCAACTAATTTTATACCGACAGTCTTGGCGCTGATTGTATTGCATATATTGAGTGTGTGTTTGTGCATATGTTGTGAGTGCTTGTTTATGTTAGAATGTCAGATGCAAAGTGCTCCGATAAAAACTGACTGCAGCTGTAGGGGTTGAGACCCGTTTGGTCCAATATAACACTTAGATATTTCAGAGCTTGAACATGCCAAGAAAGTGGTTAGAATCTCATACATCCCAGCATGGATGAAAATGGGTGATGACGGACTATTTTGGAATACATCTGCATAGTAAATGAAGCCTGAGTGGATTACAACATGAGAAGCCAGTAGTAAACTGTGTGGCCACTGGGGGTTGGGTAAGAGCAGCTGTCACCGCCCCCCCCCCCCCCCCCCCCCCCCACACACACATATCAACAACCCATGATGAGGTAGGTATAATGGTACTGCTCTTTTCCATGTCAATTAGGGATTTGCACTTTAGCAAAAATGTAATACTTATAACTAACATATGGACACGTAAGATAATATTGTAAAAAAGATGAACATATTTCACTGTTTGTATACAGTAGTAGAGCTGTCCCAGAGTACACAGCTTTCATGTAATTGTCAAAAGAAATGTGTTGCCAAAGTGTTAGTAGTACTGTCGTTATAACAAAACCTCTTGAAGAAATGGATGATGATTACTTCAGGGTCACTCTTTCCATGCTTCTACATATAAACATGTCTGTCTGTAGAACCTCCAGTTAAAATATTTACCGGTAGTTAGAAAAGCTAACTACTTTTCCAAGAAGGCTTGTGTCTCTCTCCTCTCTCCTTCGCTCTAATTTTTGTCCACATTCCACCAACTTCTCTCTCAAGCTATAAATATCTGCCTGTGTCAGATTGGACGGGAGCGAGGGAAACTTAGTGGCTGTACAGAAAGAGAGAAAAAGTTGGGGGAAGTAAGGATAGATAGATTGGGGGAGCGAGTTGTGGGGGGTGATTTTAAATGAAACCAGGTGCGTTGTGTGACCTGTGAGTGGGGGCACGGGGGAGGGGGAGTATGTGTGTGAATCTATGCAAGTTGTTGTTCCGCCTGCGATTTGGACGGATTTGGGAATTTGGGCCGCAGACCAGGAATTTGCATCCTGGGGGGTCAGGGAGGGGGGAGGATGGCAGTGCAGGGGGCCAGAGGGGGGTAGGAATGGGCTGTCCCTCTCGCCCTCTTTCCTTCTCTCTCTCTTTCTCGCCCTCCCCTGCATGCATTCAGCTGCTCCAGCTGTCGATCTGCCCACTCACTCTCTCAGGGCCATAGAGGCAGGAGCAGGACAGATAGAGGGACCACTTCAGCTCTCCACACTCACAACACACCAGGGACCACCACTGCCAGGGGACTAGAACAGCACTACACGGACCCAAACCAGGAACCTGAAGATAACAGGAAGAAGACAAATTCACACAAACGAAGAAGACTTGCCTGTGAGTTCACCATGTTTCACAATGACTTTGTGTGTGTGCGGGTTTGAAAGAGAGAGAGTGAGCGGGTGTGTCTACGAGAGCTTTTGTGAGTGAGGGAGCGATTAACCAAGTGCGTGAGTGTATTACGTCACAAAGAAAAAAGTGCCTCTTACCCTCTGCTCCTGGAGGGGGTGGACACGTCACAGCTACACCACTGCTCTCCACTCAACCTCCACGGCTACAGTTGGATCCTTACAAGAGCTGAGGTGGCAAGGCCCTGTGTGTATGTGAGGGAGGGAGAGGGGGTGGAAGGGAGGGACAGAGAGCATGTGTAAGGGAGTAGTTGTATTTGTAAATGGAAATGTATTACGAAACTCTTGTACAGATCCAACTACTATTTCACAACTATTTAATGTCACAGTTGCAAAGTCTATTAATATCTCCTGCGAAGTTGATGCATGAAAAAACCTGCCAGACATGGTCAGCTTGGATTAAACCCTAAGTACAGGATTTGTTTGCTGGAAAGACTTGCTTTAGTGTGAGGAGGAGCAGACAGGCCCACATTACCATATGGCCACACCAAGGGACAACCACAAACTAGAGAGACAGGTGCCACCCAATGGCACTAAACACACTGTATACACCCTCACTCCCATACACACACATTACATCACAGTGCAGGACACTGCCTTCCTATTTCCTTACAGACCACTTCTGTGCAGAGCAGGGCGCCATTTTATCACTGTGTTTATGTACTCTCAATTGCTAACATTTGACAGAAAGAATTCTGCGTTCATAGGCCGACAGTAGTAGTAAGGCTGGTCTGGGGAGAGCACAGAGGCACGGCGAGGAGGGTCAACTATTAAAATACCAAACTCCCCCCTCTGGCCCACCCTGTGTCCATCATCTCCTGCCCTCGGCACACGCCACCTCATCTAGTTACCACAGCATATCATAAGTATTCACATCCCTTGGATTTTTTCATATTTCGTTGCGTGACAAAGTGGGATCGAAATGGATTTGGTTGTGATTTATTTTGTCTTTCATCTACACAATACTCCATAATGTCGAAGTGAAAAGAAAATTCTACAAATGTTAACAAATGTTTTTTTTAAATGGAATGACTAAAATATAGTTGTTGAAAAAGTATTCTGTAAAATGTGGCGGAACAAATCACATAAGTTACATGGACTCACTCTGTGTGAAATAATAGGGGTTGACATGATTTTTTAAATGACTACCCCTTCCTCTGTCCCTTATACGTACAACATCTGTAAGGTCCCTCAGTCAAGTATTGAATTTCAATTACAGATTCAACTACAAAGACCAGGGAGCTTTTCAAAAGCCTCATTAAGAAGGGCAGTGATTGGTAGGTTGGTAACAATAACAAATCAGACATTGAATATATCTTAAAGAATGGTCATGTTACAAATTATGCTGTGCATTATGTATTAAACCACCCAGACACAACAAAGATACAGTCGTCCTTCTGAACTGAGCTGCAGGACAGGAATGAAACTGCTCAGGGATGTTACAATGAGGCCATTGGTGATTTTAAAACAGCTACAGCGTTCAATGGCTGTGAAGGGAGAAAACAGAGGATGGATCAACAACATTGTTGTGACTCCTCAATAGTGACCTAAATGACAGTGAAAAGAAGTACACAAATATAGACTCCTGTATGCAAAAAGGCACTAAAGTCATACTGCAAAAACAACACGGCAAAGGAATACACTTTTTGGCCTAAATGCAAAGTCTTATGTTTAGGGCAAATCCAACACAACACGTCACTGAGTAACTGCCTCCTTATTTTGGTGGCTGCATCATGGTATGGGTATGCTTGACATTGGCAAAGACTAGGGAGGTTTTTTCACGATAAAAGAAACAGGATGGAGCGAAGCACAGGCAAAATCCTAGAGGAAAACCTGCTTCAGTCTGCTTTCCACCAGACACTGGGAGATGAATTCACCTTTCAGCAGGACAGTAATCTACAACACAAGGCCAAATCTACACTAAAATTGCTTACCAAGTAGACAGTGAATGTTACAGTTTTGACTTAAATCTGCATGAAAATCTATGGCAAGACTTGAACATTGCTGTCTAGCCATGATCCCCAGCATCTTGACAGAGCTTGACAAATTTTGAAAATAATAATGGGCAAATATTGCACAATCCAGGTGTGCAAAGCTCTTATAGACTTACCTAAAATACTTACAGCTGTAAGTGGGGGGGGATACTTTTCTAATCAATTAATACTATGTTTTATTTTTCATTAATAAAACAAATCTTAGACATTACAGAGTATTTGGTGTAGACCAATGTGAAAAAAATCCAAGGGGGGTAAACACATGATACCCACTGGATCACTTTGGCCCAGCCAGCTCTCCATGCCTGGCTGCCACTAGCTACCCTCTCCATCACTCACCAGCAGACTACAGCCCTGTGCCCATGGGACGACAGGCTAACTCCACTGGGGAACTGTTATGTTTTATTGGTTTTCTGTAGTTCTACTGTCCGGCAATGTGAGAGAAATCTAACGCCACAGGAGTTTAGTGGTATAACATATAAGAGGTTCTGGCCCGCTGGGTGGCAGGTTCAGTGCAGCGAGGGGAACAGAGCACAGCTTGAGCCCACCGGGCCACCATGTTAGAGAGAGAGCAGCTCCATGCACTACGGAGCAGAACGGAACAAAGCTGGCTATATATACATCCCAAGACACGACCGTCTCTGGTTGGGTCTCCCACCGTTGTGTGTGCATGTGTAGATGTGTGTGTGTATAGTCTATGTGTGTTTGTGTATGTTGCTCTGTGTGTGTATAACTGTGTGTGTGGTCTCACTGTGTGTTCTGCCTAGTCCCCATGAAGTCATTTCGTTATGACCCTGCTGTTATTTTGCTTGGTCATTCTGCTGACGGTGTGGATTCAAGAATAGGGGTACCTCCTGTTGCAGGAGTTAACATACTACTGATGCCAGCACAGGAGGTTGGTGGCACCTTAATTGGGGAGGACGGGCTCGTGGTAATGGCTGGAACGGAATTAGTGGAATGGTCTCAAATACATCAAACACATGGTTTCCATGTGTTTGATGCCATTCCATTTGCTCCGTTCCAGCCATTATTATGAGCCGTCCTCCCCTCAGAAGCCTCCACGGGATGCCAGTAATATAAGGAATGCACCTGTACCAAGTAAAGACGGCATCTGTATCAACATCCACTGTCCTCCAAGAGTTGCAGAATTTCCTCTTCAATCCAAGTAAAGACGGGGCCATATAATTACTTTATTTCTGTGAGCAATGTGTACTACTGTACATGGTAGACAATGCTACACTTGTAAATGTCATGTTAACCATGGTTCACCGACACCTGTTGTAACCAGAACCACAAACAATGAAAAGACCAGTGGTTGGCCTGTGGAAGACTATCAGAGTGACAGACCATCCTCCCACTCAGAGACCAGAGGCTGTAGGGTTGGCAGCAGCTGTCCTACATGAACCATGGGGGGCTTTCCCAGAACCTGATACTCTGAGAAACACCGTGATGGCAGGGTATCCCTACTGGGATCTGCAGCCCACATCCTTGCCACAGGCATTCCAGAGGTCCAATCACCACATGGTGCTCAATGGTCAGCGGAGGCGAGGCAGCACCTACCCACGTCTGCCTGCTGCTCACAGGCCTGGGTGACTGAGTGACTGGACTCTCAACTGGCGGACAGTTGTTTTTTGGTGGTTTTAGGTCAGATTTACAACCCCCCCCCCCCCCAACCCAAAAAAAGGGGATTCTAACGTGTCCTCATATTGTGGCTGTCTAAGTGTCCAGGTGTACAGTATGTATCCAGAGGTACAGTGTGTGTCCAGGGGTACAGTGTGTGTCCAGGGGTACAGTGTGTGTCCAGGGGTACAGTGTGTGTCCAGGGGTACAGTGTGTGTCCAGAGGTACAGTGTGTGTCCAGGGGTACAGTGTGTGTCCAGGGGTACAGTGTGTGTCCAGAGGTACAGTGTGTGTCCAGGGGTACAGTGTGTGTCCAGAGGTACAGTGTGTGTCCAGGGGTACAGTGTGTGTCCAGAGGTACAGTGTGTGTCCAGGGGTACAGTGTGTGTCCAGGGGTACAGTGTGTGTCCAGGGGTACAGTGTGTGTCCAGAGGTACAGTGTGTGTCCAGGGGTACAGTGTGTGTCCAGGGGTACAGTGTGTGTCCAGGGGTACAGTGTGTGTCCAGAGGTACAGTGTGTGTCCAGGGGTACAGTGTGTGTCCAGAGGTACAGTGTGTGTCCAGGGGTACAGTGTGTGTATACTCCTGCATATGATGCAGACCTATTGAAGATGATATGATGCAAGGTCCACTAAAAGACCTCACTTTTGTGAGTGTGTGAAAAATGGTGAAGTTGTGACAGGTGCACTGACTGTGTATATAGTTGTCCTGGGAACTCAGTGGAACATTTGTTTTGGTGCTTGAGAAGGAAGGTTAAGCTACATTTGGAGTGTGATGTAAGACAGTTAGCATGTTTGTGTGGGTACACACGTTGCTCTGTGGCTTCTTGCTTGGCCTCTCTGAGGTTAGTGTGTGTGTGTGTGTGTGTGTTTGCATGGGGCGCAACAAGTGGTTGAGTATTACAGCATACTCGTGTGTGTGTGTGTGTGTGTGTGTGTGTGTGTGTGTAAGAAAAGCAATGATTATAACTTTCCTCTTCATATATTATTTTGCCTGGAGAAAATTCTAACTGACGTTTTTTGCACAAATGTCGGTTACTCAGAGATGTTTTATTGTTACATTTGGCCAGCTTTCTCTTCTTTTTTTGTCTGAGGGAGCTGGAATAGAGGATTTATTTGTCTAGGTACAGGGTCTACTTAAACAGCTGTGCTTCCACTCTCCAAGAACATTAAATGGAGGATGGTTGGTCTCTCCCAAAAAGAGCAGCATAGCGCTGTCTGTATGCTTCTCCAACTCCACATGCAGTACTTCAATGAATAACACACTAGCAAATGATGAACGATGCCAGACTCAAACAAAGACAATAATGGATTCTGCGATACTAGTCAGTGACAGTGATTTAGATGGATGAACAGAGCAGAGATCTGTGTCAGAGCTTGCGGCGTCTGGGGAAACGGAAAGTAATGTCTTGAAATTGTCAGACAATACCCTGAGATGTAGGAGCTCATACAGGCCTTGCTGTATTTTAACGGCTCACTCTGGTATACTGTAGGTTTGTGTGTGAGCGTTTGTGTGTGTGTGTGTGTGTGTGTGTATTCCTAGTCCCAGTTACAGTGGGCCTGTCTGGGGGAAACAGAGGGCTGTCTATGGAGAGCTAACATGACTTTGTTATTTTTAGCTGATGGATAGAGTACGTCATTATATTGACCTTTCGCCAGCAGGGGGAGACGGGCTTTCTCTCCGTCATACTGGTGGGGATTCAGGGGAAAGATGTTCGATTAGCAAATAATGACTAACATCTGAGTCACACGGGACTTGTGTGAGTTGACTTCTGAGCCTGGCTTCAGAAAAGTGTTAGATGTCAACACAGCCACAGTGTTATGGGGAGTTTATTAAGTGGATGGATTGAAAGCTGTTCCAACTGTTCTAACCCAGGTTGTGAAGTAACTCTCTCTCTTATCAACCCAGGTTAATGAGAATCCTAAGTATCTAACTCTCTCTCTCTGCAGATACCGCTGAGCTGCTCTGAGCACCACAACAAGCCGGCAGCTTCTCTCATCCTGACCTGAGGCGCCGCTACCTGTCTGACCCGCCGGCTGTGCCAGTGTGTGTCTGTGTGTGATCCTGTCCTATCTGCCAGTCAGTCTGTGAGCATGCGGGGCGGGTGTGCGGCGATCCTGTGTGTGTCTGTGTTCCTCCGCAGTGCTATTTCACAGCCACTTACAGAAAGTGACACCTACACGGTAAGGATGGGTACTCCAGGACCCTTTCTCTCCCTTCCTCCTCCCCTTCCATCTTTTCGTCTCCTCCCACCGTACGCCAGACTGATGATTGGACCCCTTCTGCACTGCAGCTGCTCTTCTCTCCTGTTGACCTCCGCTGTACTCTGACATCTCTCTTTTCTTTCCCCCTCTGTGCCCCTGACTAGGTATCCTCCTATTAGTGTGACAGCCATGATTCAAAGTGCACATGATAGCTACAAATGAAAGGTGATTTGGATTATTCAGTGCATGTGACTCTCTCTCTCTCGCTCTCTCTCTCCTGCTATCTGTAGGAATGCACAGATGGATATCAATGGGACCCTCAGACTCAGCACTGCAAAGGTAATGACCCTCGCTTATCCTCATGTCCCCATCTCGTATCTTCCCTGCATCAGATGAGCATTACAACTTGAAACCACTCCTGTCTTTCACTCCTTTTCCTTCTCCCTCTCTCCCGACAGACATAAACGAGTGTGAGACCATTCCGGAGGCCTGTAAGGGGGAGATGAAGTGCTTCAACCACTACGGGGGCTACCTGTGCCTCCCCCGTTCTGCCTCGGTCATCCCAGCCCCGGACCCCCCCAGCCAGCCTGGGACCAACCTGGAGAGCACCGCCAGAGAGCCCTTCAACCCCTGTCCTCTGGGCTACGAGCCCCAGGGGGGAGACAGCTGTGTGGGTGAGAGAGGGGATGGACGGACAGGGACGGACGGACGGGGGGGACGGGGGGGTGGACAGGTGGCTGCAGGGGGACAGGATAAGGTGTGCGTGTGTGCCTTTTGTGATTGGGCAATAAGCATGTAGTCTGGATGAGTGCAGACCATAGTGTGGGACAGGTGGCTGTGTCAAGTGTGTGTTGGGGTGGTTGTGTGTGAGTATTTGTCCATGGGGGGTGGATCGCTGGTACTGGAATGTGGAGATTTCACACGAGGACAGCTGCTCTTAGTTTTATAGGATGGAGAGTGTTGAGAGAGCTGCTTGTCCTGTTGTTCTTGGGGTCGGGGTGATAGGTGTTGTTGATGGGGAATGCATGAGACAGGAATAATGATTGGACAATGTGGGGCAGCTGTATTAACATCCATTTTACTAAGTACATTGTGTTATTTTGCCATATCTCACACACAGACGTGAATGAGTGTGAGAGAGATGAACACGACTGCCAGCCCAGCCAGCAGTGCATCAACACGCCGGGAGCCTTCACCTGCCAGTGTCCTGAGGGTTACCGTAAGGTTGGCGTTGAGTGCATCGGTAAGACACCCGATAGTACTCCCATAGGACTCCCTCTAACCAGTCTAGTCACTGGCCTGAGTCACACCGACTCACTGTTTGCGGTCTCACCTCATTGTTGTGGTTAAGCTTAGTCATTGTAGCATGTTATTTGACCTCTATTTCACCAGGAATGTCATTTAATTTATTCACAATTAATATGTTAATATGTTTTATTGTCACATACACCGGATAGGTCAAATTCTCCTTAGTCATTGTACCATGTTATTTGACCTCTATTTAAACAGGAAAGCCATTTGGATCAAATTCTCCTTCACCATAACGACCTGGTTGGTCAACTCAATCTCCTCCTTCTCTCTGGAACTGTTTCTAAATGCTCTCCTTCCATCTGTGTTGTCAGACATTGACGAGTGCAGATACAGGTACTGTCAGCATCGCTGTGTCAACGTCCCTGGCTCCTTCTCCTGTCAGTGTGAACCAGGCTTCCAGCTGGCCGGCAACAACCGCTCCTGTATTGGTAAGGCATGGTCAGATATACACACAAGCACATACAGAGAGTCCCAGTCTATCCAGACTGATATAGATATATAGACTTCTCCCTCTCCTCCTCCTTCCAGATGTGAATGAGTGTGACATGGGCGCCCCCTGTCAGCAGCGGTGTTATAACACCTACGGTACCTTCCTCTGTCGCTGTGACCAGGGCTACGAGCTGGGGCCTGACGGCTTCGCCTGCAATGGTGAGAGGATACATCTGTTGCTCTTTCTCTATAATGTCATTAAAGTAGCAGTGCTTTGATCTGAAAAGAAAACCAGTTCTTTCTTTCTTGCATTTATTAAAAGCTGTTCTTCTGTTTCTTGGTTAAAACAGCTGTACTGTGATCTTAAACGTTGTTCCCCTCTCTCTCCCTCCATCGTTCTGCAGACATAGACGAGTGCAGCTACTCCAGTTACCTGTGCCAGTATCAGTGTGTCAATGAGCCCGGGAAGTTCTCCTGTCAGTGCCCAGAAGGCTACCAGCTGCTGGGCACTCGACTATGCCAGGGTAAGCACCTTCTCCATCTGTTCTCCATCTCAATGTTTTTCTTAACACCTTTTCCCATCCTTCACTTCAATGTCAGCTAACTGTACCTGTGTGTTCTTTCGTTGTCCTCGTTGTTAGTGGACGATAAAGTATTCTAATTGATTCTATTCATTTCAATTCTCTCTCTTTCTCCGACCCTCAATCTATCCCTCTCCTCCCCAGATATAAATGAGTGTGAGACCGGAGTGCACCAGTGTACTGAAGGACAGACCTGTGTGAATATCCACGGTGCCAGTCAGTGTGTGGACACCAACCGTTGCCAGGACCCCTACGTCCAAGTATCTGACAAGTGAGTGAACATTTATTAAAACATGGGCGCACACACATACACACACACACCTTTTCCCCATTATCAAACTATGCCCTGGGCACAAATCTCAACATATCATCAGCCTCTGTATGGAGCATAGCTCACATTATTTCTAAGATTGCGCCAATTGCTTTATCCATATCTCTGTCCAATTCTGTGATCTTTTCAGTTGAAGATGTTCCAGTACAATTAGAATGCTGTTAGAAGAGTGAAACCAGTCTTACATTGATAACAGGTGTGGACAGTGGTTAATTTCCCCCAGCTGTATGAAAACTGCTTCAGAAAAACTATTGGGGAAATGGCCACTGTTCAAATACAGTTGAATGTAATCCATCTTGGTTTGAGGATAGTTCACCATGCTCCTTCATATTGCAATATACCCCTCTAGTGGTTGAGTTATGAACTACTCTTTTGAACATTTATCTACGCATGCAGGCTGGTCTCATAGACTAGACGTAACATAGTAAACAAAAATCTGGAACACTCAAATTAGTATGTTATGTTTGGTATGGTTCCATAAGATAGAAGGTTACTTCAGGCAAAAACGAAAGGACGCGAACGTCTAGCAACCCAAAGGTTGCGTGTTTGAATCTCATCACGGACAACTTTAGCATTTTAGCTAATTATCAACTTTGCAACTACTTACTACTTTTTAGCTACTTTGCAACTACTTAGCATATTAGCTACACCCTAACCCCTAAACCTAACCCCTAGTCTAGGTAACGTTAGCCACAACTAATTGTAATTCGTAAACATATCATACGATTTGTCATTCGTAACATATCATACGAATTGTAATTCGTAACATATCATATGAAATGAATGATGGACATCCACAAATGAATACATACCATACCAAACATTACATATCATACTAATTTGAGCGTCCCGGATTTTAGTTTACTATGTTACGTCTACCCCTGAGTCCAGGTTGCAGACAAGCATGAGCATATCAAAGGATGTAATCCATATTTAATATTTAGTGATAAATATCAAATATTCTGTTTTAATTTAAATGAAACAGAATAGAAAGTTCATCAGTAAGTCATCTAGTTCATGAGGTCAAATTTCAGGAAATTGTTATTTATGCAACATGACTGCCACTATGGCACAACTCATATATCTCTCCAGAGGACTAAAACCTGCTATTTGTCTTTCCTGTGTGTCCAGTCGCTGTGTTTGTCCTGTGACCAAGCCAGCCTGTCGAGACCTACCCTTCTCTATCGTCCAACGCTACATGAGCATCACGTCGGAGCGCTCCGTCCCCTCAGACATCTTCCAGATCCAGGCCACCAGCGTCTACCCCGGAGCATACAACACCTTCCGTATCCGCTCTGGAGACGACGACGGAGACTTCTACATCAGAGTGAGCACAGCCACAGTGTAACAGCCCTTGTACAGCACCAGCCTGGGTCACCCTCCCATCCAGCTTGTCAATATATGATGATAGACTAGTGAATTTACGATGACAGTGGAGGTCCAGTTTTGAGACCTTGCATCATAACAGGACTTAGTAACACACGTTTCTTGACTTTTAGACTAGGAGAGCGCGACTGACCCTGACTAACCTCACTATCATTTCTGTGTCTCTCAGCAAATCAACAACATCAGCGCCATGCTGGTTTTAGCCCGGGCCGTGACGGGACCCCAAGAGTACACACTGGACCTGGAGATGGTGTCAGTCAACCCCCTCCTGAGCTACCAGACCAGCTCGGCCCTGCGACTGTCCATCTACGTAGGGCCTTATGCCTTCTAAAGGGAGGACAGAGAGTCAGAGACAGAGAGGGGGAGAAACACAGTACAGACACAAGAGAGGAGAAATAGGACACACAGAACCATCTAGAATTGAAAGGGGTCATAAACAGCACAGTCAGATACTGTAACACGATGTCAGAAGTTTGTTAGCTTCTCCTATTTCATGACCTGCAAAGAAAACACACAACTCAAATCACAACCCTCTGGGAAAGCTAAGATAGAGTGAGGTAAAGAGACATTTATAAAAATGAATACTTCATCGATAACATATGACTGATAAGCATCAATACTACGAAGTGACATTTCCCCCAGCCCACATACCGTACATGTTTGTTTCCCTGCCTCTTAGCTGAAGTCTCCTAAAGTATCATTCCCAACTGCTCCACGCTGCTCATTTGTCATGGTCCTTTGAGCCAAATAGGGACAATTAGTCTAGTAACCTTTGGTACAAACCCCTTACATGTTTTAGAAATACCCTGCAATTGAAGATAAAGAGAGGTGCAAAAAACACATTATTTCATCATTCTCATCTAGACTCTGTCATTCTCTTTCTTTGAGCAGACCCATTCTCACTCCTTTATTTTCATGCTATTCTCATTCCTTTATGACCGTTTTCGTCCATGGACACGACTCAATAACCACTCAGATCGAACCTTCTCATCCACCCTGTCGCTCCTGCATCCATCTCTCTCCTAAATCATAGCTAGTCCTCGAGCTGACGCTCTCACTCACTCACCATTTGTAGTTTTGTCACATTACTGATTTTGTTTTACTTTTTGTCCAGGAAGCTGATACAAAATAAAACGCTATACATTTTAATAATGTGTTAACCATTGCCTTTTGTTCATATTATTTCACCATGTCACCCTCTTTCTTAATATAGTCCCATTTCTCTCCTACTTCTTCAACTCCTGTTTCTCCTTTTCCTTCATACAGTATTTCCTTATTTCCCACAGTGTGCTACGGTCGTAGCTAGCTGACCTTTCTGAATGGAAATAAGCTTAAGACTCATTAGCCTTAATATGTGCGGCATAACAAGACGACCAGTGGCATACTGATCTAACACAGTCACTGTGTTCTCCCTCTCCCCTAGGTGACTAAAGCCATATTGCTTGGGTAGTGATTCTTCTACAGTCCCACAAAAAAACGGGAAAGCCCTAATTTCATAGTCCATTGGGTCCGCTGCTGCTATCTCCGCCCAGACATCCTCCTCCTTACAACACACACCACACTCAAACACCACACACACCTCCAATCTATCCTCACTCAAGGGTGATGACTCATGTGCCCCACAAAAAAACGGGAAAGCCCTCATTTCATCGTCCATTGCGTCCGCTGCTGCTAGCTCCGCCCAGACAGCCTCCTCCTTACAACACACGCACACACACACCACACACAAACATCACACACACACACACACCACACACACCTCCAATCTATCCTCACTTAAGGGTGATGACTCATACGCCGCGCAGTCTTACGCAATCAGCCCAGAGTGGAGTCGGTAGCCAGTACAGCCACAAGGTGGCAGTGTGACACACAGCTCTTTCTCCCAGGCTGACAGGAATAGTATCAACCCGAGGTGATGGAATCTGCTGTTTTTTAACCTGACTACTGAACCTGACTACCTTCTCCCTAACAATGAACTCATGGACTTGAGAGATGCAGAGTCACTATGGATACACACACTAACGTACAACAAATAATAACCACAAGTAGTGTATAACATGCAGCCCCTGCAGACATACAGTGCCTTCAGAAAGTATTCACACCCCTTGACTTTTTCCACATTTTGTTGTGTGAACATAACATTTATTAAATTGAGATTTTGTGTCACTGATCTACACATAATATCCCATAATGTCAAAGTGGAATTGTGTTTTTAGACATTTTTATAAATTAATGAAAAATGAAAAGATGAAATGTCTTGAGTCAAAACATATTCAACCCCTTTGTTATGGCATGGAGTAAAAATGTTCTTAACAAATCACATAATAAGTTGCATGAACTCACTGTGTGCAATAATAGTGTTTAACAGGATTTTTGAATGACTACCCCATCTCTGTACCCCACACATACAATTATCTGTAAGGTCCCTCAGTCGACTAGTGAATTTCAAGCACAGACTCAACCACAAAGACCAGGGAAGTTTTCTAATATCTCACAAAGAAGGGCACAGATTGGTAAAAATAAAGAATCTGACACTGAATATCCCTTTGAGCATAGTGAAGTTATTAATTAGGCTTTGGATGGTGTATCAATACATTTACAGTCATTTAGCAGACACTCTTATCCAGAGCGACTTACAGTTAGTGATTACATTATAATTTGTTTCATACTAGCCCCCCGTGGGAATCGAACCCACAACCCTGGCGTTGCAAACGCCATGCTCTACCAACTGAGCTACATCCAATCACTACAATACACCCAATCACTACAAAGATACAGGTGTTCTTCCTTCCTAACTAATTTGCCTGAGAGGAAAGAAACCGCTCAGGGATTTCACCATAAGGCCAATGGTGATTTTTTTCCAAAACATGCATCCTGTTTGCAACAAGGCATTAAAGTAATACTGCAAAAAGAATGGCAAAGGAATTCACTTTTTGTCCTGAATACAAAGTGTTATTTCTGGGGCAAATCCAATACATCACTGGGTACAACTCTCAATATTTTCAAGCATGGTGGTGGCTGCATCATGTCATGCGTATGTTTGTCATCAGCAAGGGCTGGGGAGTTTTTCAGGATAAAAAGAAACGGAATGTAGCTAAGCACAGGCAAAATCCTAGAGGAAAACCCTGTTTAGTCTGCTTTTCAACAGACGCTGGGAGACAATTTCACCTTTCAGCAGGACAATAACCCTAAAAGGCCAAATATACTCTGGAGTTGCTTACCAAGATGACATTGAATATTCCTGAATGGCCTAGTTACAGTTTTGACTTAAATCTGTTTGAAAATGGCAAGACTTGAAAACTGCTGTCTAGCAATGATCAACAACCAACTTGACAGAGCTTGAAGAATTTAAAAAATAATAATGAGTAAATATTGTACAATTCAGGTGTGCAAAACTCTTAGAGACTTACCCAAAAAGACTCACAGCTGTAACTGCTGCCAAAGGTGTTTCTAACATGTATTGACCCAGGGGGGTGAATACGTATCTAAACAAGAGATATTTGTGTATTATTTTTCATTAGTTATTTTTTATTTTTTTAAACATTTTTTCTTCCCCTTTGACATTACAGAATATTTTTTTGTAGATTGTTGTCAGAAAATGACCATTAAATCAATTTTAATCCCACTTTGTAAGACAACAAAATGTGGAAAAAGTCAATGGGTGTGAATACTTTCTGAAGGCACTGTACATTAACACACAACAACCAGATGGCATCAGTATGCTTGTCTTAGCTCAGGGCTTTGTGGTACAGATCATAGTTAACAACATGATGGTGTTGCGGGGTATGGAGGAAGGGTGGGTTACGGGGGAGGAATAGAGTGGAACAACTCCCATGGCATTTCCTGTTGGCACTGAGACAAGGAAATAACCTGAGTGAAATGGGATCAGACTGTACTGTACCCGCGCAGTGGGCATGGGGGAGGATGCTAATATGTTGTGTGTGGGTTTGTGTGTGTATGCGCAAGGGTATGTGTATGTGCGAGGTGTTTTGTTTTTGCATTCGCAATAAGAGTATGAGCGTAGGTGTGAGGTTGTGTGTGAGTGCCACGGTGTGAGTGTGTATGCAGACATGGGGAGGAGTGTTTGGGGTGGCAGTAGGGAGCGGAACAGTGGGCCTCTCTTTGGCACCTCCGCCCAGGTATGAGCTCATTTTCCTGGGCAAGCCTTCCGCCGTGGGCCAGGCCGGGTGTGGGGGTGGGAGTCAGTGGGGCAGTAATGCAATCACTGGGCCAGGAAATACAGCCAATGGAAGATATAGGGCACTCAAAGAATCTAAGGACATCTTCTCCTAGAACTCACATAACCTGCTCTGTACCCAGGGTAAAGACATAAACGCCAACTATGCATAATTGATAAGATACCATCTTCTGTGAACAAACCCTCAAAAGCTAAAATAGAACAAAGCATTTCAGCTTCAATGGATAACAAAAAGCTATTTCGCTCTCTTATTCTCTTTAACCACTTTGCTTGTGGATATTTTTATCAACAGAGGAGGAAGGGAACTCAGTCTAGGTAGGGTAGTGTCATTGCCCTCCGCCCACACCCTACCATTGAAATGAGTCCCTTAACAAAATCAGGAGAGTGCTGTGGAATCCGTGAGTGTCATCAATAATAGTCGTTACATATGACAACACAAACAAACAACTCTGAATGAGTGGAGTGTAAATGAGTAGGGGGGGTGGGACAGGAAATGGTGATTCTATATTGGGGTCTCTATGGCCCTATATATAGAGAGAGTGCTCCTATATAGAGATACCCAGATGATAACAATACACAAATCGATAACAACAATCACAAATACTTATCTGAAAATAGCAACCAGGTAAGTCAATGTTACCAAATCAAAAGATGCTTAGTGAATTTTTATCCGGATTAATGGTCATTAACTTCTTAAGCTGGCCATCATCTATAGCCAAACCTCATGAAGTAAGGCAGCCATGAATGGATCTGTGAGGTGAAAGAGAGAAACATGCTCGAATATAGACCAGTTGGTGAGAGGTAATTGCACTATTCGTTTGTAGAGAATTTCATTGACCTCGAGATACCACCTAGGACTTGAGATTAGAAGGCTTACAAGTGACACTAATTTTTAGCTGACCTGCTCATCACCTTAATCAAATGAGTGGTCTAATTGCTGGATATGTTGATTACACGAGGTCAGTGTAATATCCTGAACTACATGTTGAATATCTCAGTGAAGATAATGGACCAATGCATTAAGAAGCCGGCACAGCTGACCACTGTAGGGGATTGGAACCAGCTAAATTGAGGAAAATATGTAATTACATATTGAATCTCTATATTTAAAAAAAATACCCCATAAATTCAAT